GCAGAATCTTGCTTGCATGTGAAATCAATGACACTGTTCTGTAGTTTCCACACTCAGTTGGGTCACCTTTCTTTGGAATGGGAACACATATAGATATAGAGATAGAGATTTTAAATTAATCAATCATTGGTTATACAAAATTCTCTGATGTAATCTCTAACCTCTTTTCTATCACTAAAGCCATAACTTGGACAAATAACCAGCCATCCCAGAATAACACAAATAGTTAAACACTAGGTTACTAACCACGAGGTTAACAGTTCAAATCTCCCCAGAAGTACCCTTAGAAGAAGGTCTGATGAATTGTTTCCAAAAGTTCATAACCAAGAGACCCTAGAGGGAAGTTTGTTTAGTTTTTTAATTGCTCTATAATTATACTAGTTTATTTACAAAATTCGAATACATTTTGTTTCACACCAGTTCCTTCCCATTTACCTAACCCCCACCCATCAAATGGTGTGATCCATTATTTTTTTTAATTTTTTTTTTTTTGTGATCCATTACTAATTCCTCCCTTTCTTCTTCTCACCCCTCTGCTTCCCCCCCTCCCCTTTGGATCCTCATGCTCCTTCTTAAATAATGTTTTTATATAGTATTTGTCCTTATGGAACTGAGTTAGTTCATTCAGCATAATGCTCTCCAGTCCCTGGAAGGCAGTTTTATTATGACATCCATGGGTTTGTCATGATTTGAAATGGCCTTGACAGCACCAGAGAGCTCTGGTGTCAAGGTCTACAGGAAATTATACTGCTAACCCAAAGGCCACTCCCTAACTCAGATCCACCAATGGAGAAACTCACCGTCTCCTATGAGATTTATAGGCTCAGAAAGCTAATGGAAGCTCTGCTATGAGTAGCAATGAGTAGCAATTTGATAGCATTGAGTTTGAGTTTACCTTGTTTTGCTTTGGCCTTTTTGAGTTTTAACAGCTGTTAGTTAACAGAAGCAAGTTACCAAACCACTGATAATCTGGGGATTTCTACAGTGCACGCTGTGTGTGCCAGGCAGAGGTGTTTCTAGGATATGACACGAGCACAGGGTGCCACACAAAGGAGGCTGCCAATGAGCAGTTCAAATTCACCATCATAGTTGCAATCACCAACTGAGAGACCCTTCAGCGAGGTAAAACAATTGCCATGAGTGCTCTTGTCCACAGAGACAATTCTGGTGTCAGACCAAGGGCAGTAACACTCAAATCTCCTATGAGTCCTCACACCCAGCCCAGGGAAGGGATAGAAAGAAACACAGCCCAGTCCCTGCCTTGAGCCTCAGTTTCCACAGCCAGCAAGTGGAGTCTATACTACCTGGGGGAATACTTCTGGGGGAATCTTGCCTCCCAAAACCCACACTGGCAGAAACTTGTCACAAGTAGCAAGAGACCTTGACTTCCACCTACTACTATGTCTAGGGTATGGCCCAAGCACATCATACAATACCTCCACACACTCCTTCTGGCCTTAGTTCCAGTCCCAGCAGCTGAATAGATGACATCTCCTCCCTACCCCCTGCCCCTGCCATTTATTTTCTCTCAAAGGGCACTGGCCTGGCAGTGACACAGACAGCTGGAGTTTCCACACTACTGTCAAGTTTTCCAGAGCACAAATGAGATATAAGAACCAGGAATAACCACCTCATACCTGTGCCAAAGAGTGTACCAGGGCTTCAGGAGGCCCCATGCTGTCGCCCACCCTCTGGGAACCGTTATCTGGAGTCCCATGAATGGGCCACAACTGCAGAGTGGCCTGGGCCTGTAACTGTAATCTTAGAAAAGTCATTTAGCATCTCTGCGCCACAGTTCCAATGGTTGATATGGCAGCCTTTCCAGACCCAAGGAGTGAGGTGTAGTCCAGCCCTCAGAGCCCAGACCCAGTCACCAGCCGGCTGTGCTGAAGCAGTACACCAGCCAGCTAAGGATTCAGCTCGCTCTTCCCACTACAGGGGCTCCCATTCTGCACAGGACATAACCTGAGACGTTGCCAGGGGCACAAAACATCAACAACCACTTAGCCAGTGTCCTAGGAAGCTCACCCTGTCTTTCTGGGCCTTGTGTGGGCCGGGGGTTGCAACTCAGCAGAGAGTGGGCTCTCAAAAGAACAGAGAAAAGCAGAATGCAGAGAGCAAGAGGTGAAAGCATTATCACCAGTCTGGCCTGTACTCCCTTTCTGCCCCTGGGGGTGCTGGGTGCCAAATGCCCTCCCCAGGGGCTATATTAGCTGTGTGAGTCACAGTAGACATGGCAGGCTGTGCAGTGTAGGGTTACAGCCCATTTATGGGCGCAGCTGAGGACAGATATCAGTGTCGATGGCATTCGCTCCTGCTATTCTTAGGAGCCTCTCAGGGGCTCCACACAGCTCAGCCGGGCAGCAGGGGATAGAGCAGGCAAGGCTGGGCAGTGAGGCCTTGGGAAGAAGTGGGCTGGGGGTAGAAGGATCCAGGTAAACTCTCTCTCACTGACATTTTCTCTCAGCAGAGGCTGAAGCTGTGCACTCCAGCATGTCTTACAGTGTGACTCTGACTGGGCCTGGCCCCTGGGGCTTCCGCCTGCAGGGAGGCAAGGACTTCAACATGCCGCTCACCATCTCCCGGGTGAGTGCATACTGCCCACAGTCTGGTCCTGGGTGGGAGGGTGCTCACAGGGAGGGGAAGTGTGTGTCCATCTGTCCATCCTCCCAAGGCTCTTGGGAAGCAGAGCACAGCCCCATCCATGGTCTAAAGGCTGGGAATAAATACATTGGATATGCTAGCCTCAGGCAGGTGCTCTCAGCCCACATGTAACTGACCGGTCAGGTCAGCTTGGTTTTTTTGAGTAGAGAAGAAATGTTGAGTTTGCAGAGCCAGCAGGTGAGCAGAGAGCGTAGTGCCTCTCTAAGCCTTTCGGGACATGGGGTGCTCTGAGCGCCCTCAAACCTGGAGCATCTCCTGGAAATTCCCGCTTCCAATGGTAGAGCCTTCTGAGCCTACAGAGGCTGGGGACAGTCAGTGAACAGGCAGACTCCTGACCTTTGTTGCCTGTTGTCAGGCCACAGGGCTGAGGTGGACAGAATCCTGGGCTACATCAGCTACTCTATCCAAGACCTGAGATATAATAAGCCCTCTCCAGAACCAGACACTGGTGGCTTCATGGGTGAGGGCTTTTCACTGGCTCTGTCCTTCCCACCGCCCCTGGTTGTGTGGCTGCTTGTTTCACCTCATGCCCCAAGTTCCCTGTTCTGCAGACCTTGCAAGGAATAGCACTAGACAGGAATGTGGCACCACATTGGAGTCCATCTAGGCCATTCATATCAACCTGCAGGAGACATCAAAAGCTAGAATGTGCTGGAGAACGAGTTCTCCATGAGAAATTGTTTGTTTTTATCACGTCTATGTCCCTAACACCTAGCAAGATGTCTACAATACAGTGTCTAAAATCATTAAACATGTGTCAAGTAAGAGAAATCTACAAGTCACTGGCAGAGCTGAGCCAAAGGCTTGGGCCGATTGAGGAGCTAGTTCAACCCCTGGTGGCTGAGGCAGAGACTGAGAAACAGCAGTGCTGGTCTGGACAGGATAAGATGAGGTCACGGGATGACAGGAAGAGGACAGTGGCTGCTTCCTGGGATACCAGGAGACAGTTTCTTCACCAAAGCAGCAAAGACTTGCTTTGGGCAGGGGCATGGGGAGCACCAAAGTGGTCTAGGGCACCTAGGGAATACTTGAAAGCTGCTGGTAGAAACACAGAGAACCTGGCAGGAGGGAGGCAGAGGACAGCTACAGATGGTCACAGGCCAAACCTCCACCAGAGGGGCAGTGTTGGTTCTTGAATCTAGGGTATTTGAGGGGATCCCAGGAAAGAGAAGTTCCTTTCTCTCAGGGGTACCTGGGGACCTTTTTATAGGCCACAGAGACCACACTCCTCTGGGCTGCTGGCCTGGTTCTGGTCTAGAGAAGAAGCCTTGTGTCCATCCATTGCTACAAATCTAGCTCCGTCCATCCCAGAATCTCCAGCCTGCTGTCCTGGAGACAACGCACCTGAAATAAAATGAAAGCCCAGTCCTTGCACACCTCTTCTGGAGACACATGAGCATTTGAACTCCTGCTCATGTAGACCTTTAAACCCTGTGGCTACAGCTCTCCTCTATGTGAGTCATCCTGACTCTCTGGTCCCCCAAACCTCCTATGTCTAGAACTGAGGCCAGGGCTCCTCCAACCCCACCATCCTGTAGATGTTCCCTGTCCTACCTCCAGCATAGAAATTGGCCTTTTTGTTCAGTGGCACCCAGGATAGCCAATGACTTCACCCAGAGTCTATGTACCACCTGGTCCCTCCAGCCAAAGGCTTAAATTGCAACACAGAGGCTTCAAGTTAGACAACAGGAGAAATGTCCTCCCTGCAGGGAGGCGGCTATAGGGATATACTAGGGCCAGGGACCAGGGGGGGCATTTAAAAATAGAACCTGCTGCTCAGGCAGGGATGGATGTGATGCTGCTGACTGCCTTGGGGCAGCAGAATAACCCCCTACGTGGATATAGATAAACCATTTAGAGAAACCTCTCTCCTCCACCCTCGCCCATTTCCCACCCTGTGGCAAGGGCAGAGAGTAGCCAGGAAGTCCCGTCTCATTGAAAGCTATTTAGTGGGGCATTAGCAAAGGTAGAGTCCCTCAGATCTCGATGGGGTTGGCATGCTTGACCACATTCATGACATTCCTAAGAGGGTAGTCAGGCAGGCAAGGCTGGCATGACCCAGAGCCAGGCAGAGGCATTTGCCATGAAATGGAGATGGCATGGGTGGGACTTCTGGGTCCTTGGAAGCGGCTAGCTCTCCTGTTAACCCCCTCATCCCTCCCACTTTGATGATGAGCTGGCACACAGCATCATCCCAACACTCACTCTGTCAGCTGCAGTACAGGCTGCAGGTTTTTCCTGCAAGAAAGTCCAGCTGCCCACCTGCTCAAGGCTGAGCAGCAGCTCCCTGTTCCTGCTCTTCACACTGCCTCAACCTCAAGTGGGAGCAGCCCTGGGCCTTCCCAGAAAGCATGGACAGAAGGTTTGCAGTGAAGGCCCACAGAAAAAGATTCAAGAAGAGACCGAGGAGGGGAGGGAAAAGCCTTTATTTATCCCAGACAGGTGCTCTGGGCCTGTAACTTGAGCTGCTCCTCACCCTTCACTCCGCCCAGCCTGGCCTGGCTTATGGAGGAGGGGCGGGGCAGCCACCAGGGGGCTTGCCCTGAGGCTTGAGGTTTGGCCCCTTCGCCGTACCAGCAGCTCAGGCCTGAGGCTGGGCTATGGCCTGGGGTCCCACCCTCAGTGCCTTGTTATAGCCTCCAGATTTATGAAGAGACAAATGCTTTCACCTAACTCTGCTTTTCACAGCTGTGTTCCCCTAGAAAAGACAACCGACTGCCTCTCTCAGACTGCCTTCTTGTTTGTAAATGAGGATAATGCCTTCATGTCTCCAAACTTGTGCAAGCGATTTCTGACTTGTGCTTGCTCAGGACAGTATAGTCTGCTGTTTTGCAAGGGATGGTCAGGAGGTGGGGAATCATAGGGCTGAGCCTGGCCCAGGAAGTGTGATGGGCTTGGGAAAGGGCCCAGCTCCGAGTGATGGCTCTCATCCCTTCAGGCCACAGCGGGGGTGCTGAGGACAGAGGGTCCCCAGGGAGGGGTGAGGGGACAGGTCGAGATTATTTTGGGGCAGCGGTGCCAGAGATTTCTGGAATTTCAAGGCCGCTGGAGCATAGTGTGCTGTTTCCTGGGCAGCACCTCGCAGTGCTGACAGGCCATGCTGTTTATAGCCACACTGAAGGTCAGGCTCCTGAGAGGGCTGGGGCCTTCCTGTCTGGAACATGGAGTTAGAGGCTCCTTAGCCCCCCCTCCCCCACCCTCTAGATGGCTCTCTCCTCCCAAGCTTCTTTTCCTGAAGCTCAGGGCTGACCCAGAACCTTGTGAGGGTTCTAAGGGGAGGAAAAATTCCGCTGGCTGGATCCTAAGAGTGAGTGGGAAGCCATCCTCCAGGTTGGGGGAATCGCCCACCCCAATTTTCTGGGTCTCCTATCCCCTCTTTGTGATTCCCTCTCATTTTGTGTCCCCCTGGTTGCAAGGCCTCTATTCTGACACCTCCCACTCACAAGGACAGCCTTCTCTACCCCACTGGAAATAGGCTTGTCCTTACCTCTACTGGAACCATCTTAGAAGGCCTGGTTATTCCACTGCTCCCTGGCCATCGCCATCCCTGGGGGTGATGTGCCATGGGACAGTCTAGGGCATATAGGACAAAGAAGCAAGCATAGATTAGAGGAGGAGGAAGAGAAGAGAAGCAGTGGCTGGAAGGAGGTGCAGAGGAGACAAAAATGCAAGGATGGATTAGAGGAGAGAGACAGTGACTGGAAGTATAGAGGAGGCTGGGGACGGAAAAAAGCTTTCAGGAGGCCATGGTCATCTAGAGAAGTGGACTATGACCCTCAGCTGCAGGCACAGGGAATAAGGGGCTAATTCATTCTAGTTCAACTCCCTGCAGAGCAGTTGCCTTTCTTCCCCAGATACCTGAAATTGCATTCTAGTATGATCTCCATTGGATTCTTTTGCATAGATTCTAATTCAGTAGAGATAAAATAAGAATGAATGAGTTCAAAGTCCTGTAGGAAAATCACCAGAATGTGTGAAATTACCTAAATCAGACAACTGAGTGTGAGTGGGATGGGGACAGTGGTGGTAGTGGTGGTGGTGGTGGTGACAGACATGCTGGTCACTTTGTGGAGAAGTCTGAGTGAAAGGAAGGGGGAGAACACAGAAGGAACTGAACAGAACAGCAAAGACATGGTAGAAGAAACTGACTTCTTTATCGCCAGGATGGAGTTGTAGAGAGGGGTCCTGAGAAGACAGAAGGTTTAAGGGATAAAATGAGGGATGAAAGAAGGTCCCAGTGGAGGTCAGAAGGGAAGGGAGTAAACACTATGTGCCCATAGTTTACTCATTCAGTATTAAAGCACATTTCTCCTTAGAATGCCCTAGACCTTAGTTCTCCTTAGAACTCCCTCCAAACTACCAGAGGGCTGGGAGGAAGAGATTCAGAAGTCACATGATTCCTAAGCTTCCACTACTTTCTCCCCCCAAGTACTCATAACCTTCTTCTGGTGGATCTAGAGAGAAGGAATTTCATCAGGGGCCTCTCTGGCCTGGATTATTGGTACTAAGACCCTAGACGAATGATGGAGCAATGGTCAGAAATGCTTCAATTTCTCCACTCCCTACTGCCAGGGGAATTAGGGAACAGGAGTCAAAGGCATAGTGCACCTGGAGCCCTGGCAGACACCTTATCTCTGTTGGGCCCTGGGAAGAAGGTCTCTCCCTTCACCTTGATGCCCAAGCCCCTTGGAGAAGCCCACCCTCTTCCTGTCCCAGGGATATGGCCTGGCAAGGGACCAGGGTCAGCATCTGCACTGAGGGCCCTACTGATATTTTCTCAGCTCTACTCTCCTTACATAATCCCTTCTCAATAGCATAATCCTCAAAATAATCAGAGAGGGGAAAAAAGCATTGTCTCTTTTTACACTCAAGGATGTGGAAGCCGAAACGAGACCCCACATGTGGCTCATACTGGCCCAGGCTCCTGCTATTTATTGCCTCACTCCTGGGCACCTGCTGGTAGCATCAGCCACAGCTTCTTCATGACACCCAACCTCTCTTACCTGTCCCCAGAATGCCCTGAGACCACCAAGATGGAGTGGCTCCTTTGGGCCAGGGGGCTGAGCCTATTCTGAGAGGACAGGATGTCCAAGATCACTAAGATCTGCCCATGGTGGGTTCCTCAGTGAGCTGGAACTTTTGACTAAGATAAAAAAGAAAGTGGAGGAAAAACTTTCACAGGAAAGAGTTTCTACATGCTCAACAGTGATTAATCTGAAGGGAATGGGTGGTCCAGCATTATGTGTTTAGCAATCAACAATCTATATACTATGTGTTAATTGGCAGTATGGAGCAGAGGAAGGGGGGATTAATGAACAGAGGTGAGTGACGGGAATAGCAATACACAATGAGGGTTTGCTTAGACATTGTGATAATTGCATCAACTAATGGTACTTATTGCCTAGGAATGATTGTCTGGGAGGGAAACAAAACCCAAAATTTGTAAACTTTCACTCAAATAAAATAGATCTTTTTTAAATTAAAACAAGAATTACAAAGAAAATAAAATGTTCAGGAGGAGATATGGTGGCATGGTGCGCTATGAGCTGGTCAGCAAGTTGATGGAGAACAATGGACAGTCAGTCCTTCCATAAAGATTCCAGCCTCAGAAACCTGGTGGAGGGCCCCTGAGTTGACTCAACACCAGTGGGTCAGGAGAAGATAGAATTAAAAAAAAAAAAAAAAAAAAAACAACCACCACCACCACCAACAACAACAAAACAAAACGCAAAACCGAATAAATCCTTCAAGGATTTCATCACCATGGGTTCTTTTTTGAACAAGGTAAGGAGTGAGAGGGATGAGATAACTGGGTGATTTGGGGTCCTTGCACCAACATTCTCGGGCTGGTCCTGCTGCAGAAGGAGGGAACTTGATGGTCCTTCGTCCAAATTTCTGAGCAACCTCCTTAGGGTCCCAACCTCCTGTTTCCAGGATGCCTTGAACCATCCCTGAAATAAAAAGGCAGCATTACTGCCGCCACCAGAGGGCTCTTGGTCCTGCGCAGGGCAGGCAGAAGCCTGGGCCAGCTTAAGCTTGACAAGCAGAAGCAGGTGTGAGAAGAGTAAGTCAGGAGCTGGTGTGGAGGCTCCCCCACCCCGCTGTTCCCCTGGGTCCTGGGCAGCTGACCCGGCCCAGGGGAAGTTGAGCTCTCTCCTAAGGAACAAAAATCACCACCACCCACACCTGAGGATAGGGAAGCAGGACAGCACCAGGCAAGACAAAGAGCCAGAGACCCAAAGACTAGTGATAACCTGCCCACGACGAAGGGAGAGAGATCTCCACAGTCCCTTGAAGGCACAACATCCCTGACACCCTAGGCAGCTCGGGTGGGGTAGTCCTCAGGGAGTTGCGGTGCTAACCCAAAACCTCTCTGTTAGTACAAATTCACCAGCTCTGTGAACTAAAGACAGATAATCTCCCCTATGCAATTTACAGTCTCAGAACCTGTGAGGGGGCCAGCTGAGTCAGTTCTTCCTGGGCAACAGTGAGGGAATATGTGAGGCACTTGTCCCAGTGGATCTGGCACTGGCTGCCCTTGTATGTCATTTGCAAGTCCTTGCTCACGCATCAGCCATGATCTGGGCACAATGTCCATTCTGTCTGGAAAGCTTCACCTCTACAGGCTGCAGGGCCCTGCCATTCTGCACAGGAGCTGCAGGTGTCCCACCGCCCCCCTGCACACACAGAAGTTCCTTACTGCAAAGTGATGGCCCCTGCTCTGTAGATAGGGGGAGCCCTATTGGGGGAGCTTTGAAGGCAATCCAGCAGGACAGTAAAGGCATTGTAAAACTAACCCTAAATGGAAGCATATTGGCATCTGCAACTTTCTCTGGGAACGCTTCAGAAATAAGATGACTGGATAAATGGAAGGATAGAGGGATAGATGTGTGATAAAACAAGTTCAGCAAAATGCTATGTAGAACTGAAGTGGTAGATATTTAGATGTTTATTACAAAATTATCTTAGAATTCAGTTTGAAAATATCTATAAGACGACATTGAGGGTAACATAACCATGAATGTGAAGCCAGAACCTTGTCGTCTGCAGACAGCTCAAGGCTAGCCTTAGGTGGCTATGCTTCATCTAGAAAATTATATGGCTTTGTTTGTTTGTTTGTTGGTTTTGAACCTTTGTTCAATCCTTACAGTAGAAGTGACAAATAACATTTCTATCATTAATGGAGGCCCTTTATGGCAATGCTTTATAAGTAAGAATTATGTGTGACTTGAAAAGCCCCTGATAGTTCTAAATTTTCCATATGTCAGCCTGTGAACGTGCTGGACTTTGCAAACCAAGTTGGCCTTGCTCTCTCAGTAGTAGGTTTGGGATTGGGGAGCACTGAGCACATGTGCTCAGCATTTAAGAAGAAGTACAGCCCCTAGGGCTGGAATGCCTGGTGAGTGATAACCAAGGTTCTACTGACCTTACTTTTCTCACTAGAACAGTGTGGGATAGTGTTTTGGTGATCAGTTGTATGGTTTAGCAGAAACAGTCAGTCCTTGGGCCACCCTCTGAACCGCACTAGGATGGATGTGTAAGTAGGGAGTAGGGCACCTTGGTTTGGTCTGGCCCCAGAGTCACCAATGTTTGGAGCTTCCTGTGCCACGGATGGCAGAAATGTCTGCAAGCCCAGATCCTGGTCAGAAGCCAACTCAAAACTGGCACGTGGGGCATGAGATGGTCCTCAGTACCTCTCTTGGCTCCTTCTAGGATGGTCCCAGATCTTGGTTAGAATCTGGCTTCTGCTAGTGCTAGGGAGCTGGTCTTATCTCTGGGGTATAGCCAGGAGGTTGACTGGGGTGTCCTCCAGAGAAACCAGGAGGACTGGCTGGTGGTCATGTTGGGGAGGAAAAGCCAAGGGGCATCTTCCAGTCAAAGCTAGGAGGGCCTCTTAAGACTCTTCTTTCTGGTGATATCATTAGGCATACGGCCTCAGTGCATTCCACACGATGTCATGAAGGTAGACCTCATGCCACGTCACAGGGTCTTGTGAAACAAGACTTTCATAGCATTCCACATCATGTCATTACTTCCAGGTAACATCACAGGGTCAGGTCTTAAAATCATTGTGGACAATACTTTCAGAAGATTCCACAGGATGTCACAGGAAGAGACCTCCATGGAATGTCACAGGGTTAGGTCTAGAATCATTCTATGTGACTTCATTGTGGAACAAGACTTCCATAACACTGCACATGATGTCATGGGGAGGACCTCCACCTGATGCTATTGGATCAAGTCATGAGTTCATTCTATGTAGTCAAAAGGAGCAGGGCCTCCATGGCATTCCACATGCTCCTATGGAGTAAGGAGAGAGAGTGAAGCCATGGTACTCCATGAGCTATCTTTAGGCATGGAGCTTCAATGCATTCCATGTAACGACATCAAGACAGGTGAGTTATTTTAAATGATGTCATTTGGCCCTCCAGAATTTTACATTTCCTGTGGTATCCCTGTGGTCTGGGTTACCGGGGCATTTAATGTGCTATTACTGAGGGCCTGGCATGGGTAATTTTGTACCATGTGTTTCCCTGGGACTGAAATCTGAGCTGTCACCTCCTATGTCCCAGGGACAAGGCCTTCCTGACATTTCTGGAGCCTCCACAGCGTTCTGTGTGAGGACACAGGTGTCAGGCCCTCCAGGCCCTGGCACTCTGTGATATCACTGGTGTGCGGGATTTGGGACTGGCCCCTGTCATCTGAAATCCTCCTTCTGGAGAGATGGAATAATGACTGGGCGTCAAGTTCTGTATCATTCCCTCGCCAATATTGTCCTCATCTGGGGAGTCTTCTGTTCCCCCAGGCAGGGCTACATGTTCCCCTAGTCCTCTGCCCACCTCCAGTGGTAACAACAAGCACCTATGCTATCATACCGTCCATGTGTGGGCGTCTCTTCCCAGCTTACTGGCCTGGAAGCATCGAGTCTTAGCTGCCAAGTCTTCCTTCGTCCTGGAGCCTAGAAAATGACCTCAAATGAACAGGATAAAGATGTTAGAGTAGGTTAACTGGCATAATCAACAGCTAATATTTCAATGACTTGGCATGAGAAAAGTTTACTTCTAACTCATGCAAATGTAATGTGTTTAATCTTTAAGTCTCCTGTCCTCCAAGACCATTCTAGTTGATGATTCCATTATCCTCTGGTGATAAGCAGAGAGCAGAGACAAGGCAAGACAATGCCATGCTAGTGAAATCTGGCTATTAGATATAAATGCTGTGGGACAACTGAGTGCTAGGAAGAGGAACCAGCCTGGGAGCAGCCACTACCAGCTACTGTAGAAGAAAAGCAAATAACTCTCTACTCTCTGCTCTCACTGAGGACGAGTCCATGTCTTCTCTCTTGTCTTCTCAGATCACCCCAGGCAGCAAGGCAGCCCAGTCCCAGCTCAGCCAGGGTGACCTTGTGGTGGCCATTGATGGTGTCAACACAGACACCATGACCCACCTGGAGGCCCAGAACAAGATCAAGTCTGCCAGCTACAACCTGAGCCTCACCTTGCAGAAGTAAGTAGAAGCTCTCCGGAGCACCAAGGGTCTGCAGGGGTGGGGGGAAACTAGGATCCAGGGAAGGAACCTCCAGTCGCATGGGCAAGCCCTCTGCTGAAGAATGTGCAGTAAGAACAGCCTCTAACCAGAGGATGGATCCAGACCAAGTCTTGCTCAACCACCTGCTCTGCCAGAACTTAGAGTGAGCTATCACTGCCTCCCTTTACAGATGAGGCTCAGAGAGGACGAGCCAGGGTCTGCACCCGTGGTGGGGATCAGTCAGGGCCTGGTAGCCAGCTTTTCTGACGTCCAAACCCATAATCTGCCTTTCACTGTTTCCAGATAACTTCCCAAGAAGGCAGGAGGGGCATGGGACAGTCTAAGACTTCACCTCATTGTCTTCATCAGGGCCAGGCCCCAAGCCTTCCAGGGAGGCTGCTGGCAATGAGAGTGAGCACTGGGCCTCAGGCTCCTGACCCTGTTGCTCTCACTTGCTCCCCTCACCAGCCCTGCACAGCTAGGACAGATGTCCTCATTTTACCCTATTTCTGGCTTCTCCAGGTCAAAGCGCCCCATTCCCATCTCCACAGCTGCACCTCCAATCCAGTCCCCTCTGCCGGTGATTCCCCACCAGAAGGTAGGTACCAACATCCTGTGGGCAGGCAAGGTCCACTTTCAGCTGTGTTCCTTGTCTACCTGGTCTAGCCTTTGCCTGGCCCAACTTGGATGAAAATGTGGCCTCTGCCCAGCCTGTACCCTGATCTGTCAGGCTGAGTCCTACCTCCACCCTCAGGCCTCATGACTGTGTAGGTGGGAAACTAGCTTGGACAGCAATGTTCTCAGGACAGAGTCTTCTCCCAGTCATAGGGGACAAGAGTCCAGAAAGCTTTGACCTTTGTCCTCCTGAGGGAAATAGGCAGCAAGTGGCTGTGGCATGAAGGACATGAAAAGCTAGTGGGTCCCACTTGATCCAGCCACCCCAGGGGATCCCAGGCCTGCAAAATCTCTCCTTCTGGGTTCTAGTTCTCCATCTGCCCCTCGACACTTGCCTCCCTGGGCCCAGCAAGGACACATCCAGTGCACATTCCTCTGTTGATGTTGGCCACAGAGACAAGAACAGAAAGGAAGCCAAGCTCTGGCCCCCAAGCCTCACCACTGCACCCCATACTTCCAATCCTGCCCCCAGGGAGCCAAACCTTACACCTGGGAGTTGTCCCTCAGCCCCTGCCTGCATAAACCCAGCCTGATGTGGTCTAGAGGGGGGAAGGACTGGGTCATGGGTGAGTGGACAGAAGGGGAAAAGAAATGAGTGTTTTCTGAAGGCCACAGCCTAGACCCACAGACAAAAAGAGAGGCTGACTTGGGGTTCAAGGTAAGTAAAATGTAGGAGAAGGTTATTGGGAGACATTGCAGAGGCAGACCCAGGGAATGAAATTCTACCCTCCTACCTCCTTAACACCTCCTCAGTTTCCCCCTGCTCATGGTGGACCCAAGATGCATATCCTCACAGGAGAGGGACACCTTTCAAGGCTCCACTTTGGCTTTATGCAGGCATCTCAGAGAAGGGTCAGCAGACATAGGATATAGTGACACCTGTCCACCCCGAGCCTCACACCAGCTTTCCTCTGCCCCCCAGGCAGGCTTGACTTGGCTTTCAATGCAGGGCTTTGCTTCTTGGCCGGGTGAATACCAGCCTGGATCCCCCAAAGCTGGTGCTGCCCTCGGTCCTCTCCTCCAAGTGCCCATCTAGCCCCTTTCAGCCCTTTGTGAGGACCACAGGTTGCAGGGGCCATGGGGAGATTGCTGCGAGCTAACACTAGCACCTCTGTTTCAGGTATTCTTGACTCTAACCCTCTCTTCTTTCTCCCCTGCATGGTGCTGCCCTGTGCCAGGACCCTGCTCTGGACATGAACGGCAGTCTGGTGGTGCCCAGCCCCAGCCCCGAGGCACCGGCCAGCCCAGGCACTCCAGGCACAGCAGAATTCAGGCAGAGCTTGAGCTCCTCCTTGCCCCAGCCCTCTGCCTTCTCCCACACTGAGCCCTCTGACCCCGCCCCTCCCCAGGGCAGCACAAAAAGCCCCAAAGTCCCATTGAGCTCAAGGCAGCCTCGGCAGTATAACAACCCCATTGGCCTGTACTCAGCAGAGACCCTGAAAGAGATGGCTCAGGCCTATCAGATGAGCCTCAGAGGGAAGGCCCCAGGTGCTGGACTTCCAGGAGGGTAGGTAACTTGTGCAGCGCTCACAGTGCTCCAGGCAACCTGGGTCCTTGGTGCTCAATGGAGGCTGGGGCTGGCTGTCAGAACCAGGAGCTGGCTTCATCCAACTGTCCCCAAGCCCATGAAGCTGTGCAGGCTGAGGAAATCAAAGTCCATGGTCCCTTCTCGACATTTGCTGCAAGCAGATCCATCATTGCTTTACTCAGCCACCCTCAGGGTAAATGTGTACAATTTTTCAGATGGGAAAACTGAGACTCAGAGAAGGTTAAGCTGTGATCTAGCTGTTAATGGTCAAGCCAGAATTTGAGTTCAAGAGGCTCTGACCCCCAGAACTAGATAGGATAACCTACTGTCCTTCAAGAGCTATGGGGAAGAAGCCATGTGAGCCCTAATCAGAAGCAGAGAAGAAATGGGAGGTAGAAAGATGAGTTTTCTACAACTAGAAATGATCTGGGAGGGCATGGAAGAAGAACACATGAGCTGGGTGTGGAGAGCTGGGCCAGGAGAGCAGGTTGCAGGATTGATCCCAGCTAGGGTGGGGCAGGTAAGAAGCAAATTCTCGAGGAGAAAAGTGTTAAGGAGGAAAAGAAGAGCCTGTTCTGTGGACTCTGCAAGAAGTGTTCTTAACCAAAAACATAAAGGCCCTTCACCTTGAGCATATCTTCAAGGCCTTCACCCCTGTTGTCACACTTTAACGGCCACTATACCTTGGGCAGTCACAGGATGATCTCCATTTTGAAGAGGTCAAGCTGTCAAGGTTAGAGCATTGCAACATATTGGTTAGAGGTTCAGGTTTCTGGGAGAATCATTCTGTCCAGGTCACAAGTTATTGTAATGATTTAATAGCAATGCAGCAGCACAGGTAAAGAGCCAACTGTGTCTGCTATTCTACCGAGATGATCATTGTCAGACTTGGACCCTGGAATTCAGCATCAGTCTGATCCAAGCATTCATCCTTCCCTCTGCCATGGCTGCAGAAGGCACCTGTGACCCAGCCCTCTGTTCACATGTGGGTGCTCCAGCTCCCCCACTTCTCCCAGCTCCTCATGAGGTCCTGAATGAAACTGGCCTGTCAGGAGTCCTGACTTCCTTGACTCAAAGTGCCAAAGTCAGACTACCCCTTTCCCACTGTATCCCCAGGCCACAAAAGGCTTTGCCAGTAAACTCAGGAGATGATAGAAAAAAATGAACTCATTTTATGGATGGAAGCTTTTCCTATTCCTCTTTGAAAATGTTTACCAGTCATCTCTAGACTCTGTGAAAAAGAATGTGGCATCAGGATCAGAGGAAGACTCATCAACAACCTACATTATGTAGATGACACAAATTTGTTTGCTGAAAAGTGAGGAGGTCTTGAAATTCTTACTGCAGAAGATCAAAGAATATAGTCCTATGCAATATGGATTGCATCTCAACATCAAGAAACTAAAAATTATCACATGAGACCAATAGGCAACATCATGATAGATGGAGAAAAGATCAAAGCTGTCAATGACTTCATCTTACTTGGATCCACAATCAACACCATTGGTACAAGCAGTCAAGAGATCAGGAGACATATTGCGCTGGGAAATTCTACAGTCAAAAATCTTTCCAAAATATTGAGGAGCAAGGAAATCAGCTTGAACCAAAGTGCACTTGATTCAGGTCATGGTCTTTTCAATCACTTGCTATGCATCTGAGAGTTGGACAATGAATATGGATGACAGAAGAATTAGTGCCTTTGCACTGTGATGTTGGAGAAGAGCACTGACGATCCTACAGACTGCCGAAAGAACAAAAAGATATGTCTTGGAGAGGGCGCAGCCAGAGTGTTCCTTGGAGGCAAAGATGACAAAGCTTCATCTCACATACTTTGGGCATGTTGCTAGGAGATGCTAGCCCTTGGAGAAGAACATCATGTTTCGGGAAGGTAGAATGCTGATGAAAGAGAGGAAGACTCTCAGCTAGATAGATTGGCAGTGACTGCAGAAATAGGCTAAAGGGTGTCAGTGCTGATGGGGATGTTGCAGAACAGGATAGGGTTCAGATCTGTTGTTAATAGGGTCACTGTGAGTCATACTTCTCTCGATGGCATCTTAAAATAACTCTGAGAATGGTCCTTGAAAAAAGGTCTTCCTTATGGGTCAGGATCCTCATCAGGTTCCCCTGAAGTGATATAGCATGTCCTGTACCGTGTCCTTGCTTTGAGGGCCAGATAAGCATTCATAAGCCTTATCTAATGCAACTCTTTCAGCAACTTCAGGGATAGGTGTTGGTTCCCCATTTTACAGGTGAAAAATGGAAGCTCAGAGCTTCCAAAGTCACACAGAGGACCTACCAACTTCTTGAGGAAGCCCTGTGATTGCAAGGTTCCTTCTTGTTTGCATGAGGTTCTCCTGAAGCTAACAAAGGTATAAAGTAGTAACTTAACACTCCACGCAGGAAGGTCCAACTTTCTCCAGCTCACTTCCAGTGGGAGGTGAACTGGGGAAAGAGCATGCTGGTTCTCCACCCCAAGTGAAAATTACTAGCTGTAGCCCCTGTTTGGGAACAGCTGTCCTGAAAAGGCACAAGTTGTGACCTAGGCAAGCCTAGCACTTCCTTTAGCTAAGTGATAATGGCCATCAGGGACACAGGCAACTGAGTCAGCAAAGCCTCATCACCTCAGCTTGGGGGAAGTCTGTCCACTTCACCCAAAGCTAAGAACTTTACATCCTAGATCCAATTTGGTCTACCCTGCCAGACTGAGTACCATTTCAACTTTATGAGTGAGAAAACTGAGGTTGAGAGTTGATCTGCCCAAAGTTACAGTACTAGAAAGAGGAAGGGTCAGAATTTTTACTCTGTTCTATCTGGCTCCAAAGGAAAGCACCTTCCCCCACATTTTCCCCTGGGCAGCTTACATTATTATTCCACCCGTGGCTTGTATCCTCTTGGCAGGAATGGAGAAGAACAGACAGAATAGAAGACCAGCCAGGCCTGAGTGTTACCCCTCCTTTGGCCTTTCTGGGGCTAGCCCTGGAGGACAGCATCCCTAAAGTCACTTGGTACAAGAGACTCCGAAGCAGGTCTCACATCTCTGGCTAATCCTCCCTGCGACCTGTGTACATGCTCCTCGCTAAGCTGTGGCTGCTGAAAGCATCCTATCCCTCAGGCCCTCAGATAAAAGCTGAGCAGTGGGCAGGAGTCAGGGTCAACCTGAAAGACTGATTAGAAGGGGCTGTTCGTCCAGGGAAGGGAACAGGCAGCCTCTGAGGCCACCACGGTCCTCTGCAGGGGCATCAAATTATTCAGGGCAAAGTGCAGCCATTAGCAGTGGCCAAAAATGGAGAAGAAATGAAAGCTTTCCTAATAATAGCTCCACTTAGTTATTTTGAGCTGAAATGGGCAAAAGGACTTTTATCAGCTCTGAGAGAGTGGTACGTCTAGAGCTCAGCGGGGCCACTGCAAGGCTGACTGGGCCACCTCCTTTCCTCTTCCCTGGCTCCCTCACAGTCAGGTCTCAGGCTCCCCTAGCAGATGTGCGGAGGCAACAGAGTCTGGGGACAGAGCTGCCACCTTCCATACACCCTTCCTCTCCATGTTCTGACAGGGGCACAAATACTGCCAGGGTCTTTCATGCAAAGAACGTGCCATTAAAGAAGCATGATGCAGGCTATGCTTCCTCCGAAGAGAGGACTCTGAGGATGCTCCCTTTCAGAGTGTGGAGCAGAGGAAGCTAGACCTCCCTGTGGCATTTAAACTGGGCTACCTCTGTGGAGTGCTTTCCTGCACCAAGCCTGGACTCAGACCTCTCCCTTAGCCTCCTTTCCTCCTGCAATCCTGCCTCATTGCCTGGAGAGCAGGTCCTGAAGCAGTGGGTAACCCCACCCCAACTCTTTCAAAGAGGAGTGGCACTGTCAGGATTGCCCGCAGCAAACAGGAGGTAAGCCCAGAGCTGCTCAGAGCTGCTATCAGGCTAGGAGGCACAGTGAGGGCTTCATCCCTCCCCTAGCAGCCAGAGCTGATCTACAGTACATGCCAACTGTGTCTCTTAACTTAGAGGGTGTGGAGGTGAGCTTCTAAAGTATAGGGCACATGAGTGTTCACAAAGATGGACAGGAAAAAGTTCTCTCTCAGAAAGCTGAGGATGTTGAAGGTCCCTGAGAGGGACATAGTGCTGTGGGCTTCCTCTCCGACCCCAATTAGGGTCCTGAGGCCAGCCATGGCTCCCCTCTCCTTTCCAGTCCTTATCCGGAGCCAGTTCTGGTGGTCTGCCTCCACCATGGTCAGTCTAAGGTCGGTCTTCTCAGTACTCCCAGCCCTGAAGGCTCTACCTCTGATGGCCCCCTCTTTGCTTTCTCTCCCTCCCCAGGTGGTAGCCAACTCTCCAGCCAAGTTAGTATACAGAAAGCATGTGCATGCACCCGCCGGCATATCTGCGCATGTGCCTGTGTGTGCCCGGTGTGGACGGTGTGAGCCTGGTTTGGCATGTGTCCATGTGAGTGGAGTGCAGATGTGCCCCAAGGAGCCTGCATGTGGGGCAGCTGCCAGTCTGGAGTGGAAGCGTCTGGGGAGGGCGGCGTCTCATGGGCCAGCCATTTCATTCCTATGGTCCAGGGGCTGCTGCTCAAGCCCCGCAGTCTGGCTTGGATGTTGGGGGGGGGGGGGGGGGGGAGGGAAGCCTGTTCTGGGTGCTTCTGTGGACTGGTCTGCCTGGCGGGACCCTGAGAAGGGGCTGCCCTTGATCTCGCTGGCCACCCTCTCCCTGGACCACTTGGTGGGCGCCCTAGAGCCTGCGGCCTGCTCAGAAGAAGACAAGCTCGCTTCCCGAAGGAAGGAGCAGCGCCCTGAGCCCGAGGCCTTCCATGGAAGAAACTCCCTTCAGAACTGCTGTGCTGGCGTCCAGTGGGGCTACTTGTCCTCTTGGACTGCGCTTGAGCTGCCAGCTGCTGCCTCCCTGCGGTGTGTGGAGAGAGATCTCAAGTGGCAACCCCCTGCGCCCGGAGTAAAGGGTGCTCGGGCTGCACCCAGGGCGCCCTGAGATGGGAAGGCAAAAAAAACCCTGGGGACGCCAGCAGGCGTCTGGGAGGCAGGACCTCGGCCTTGGGAGATCTCTTGCCCTCACCAGCACCAAGTCCTCAGAGGTCTTCCATGTAACGACCCATGTTGCCCTTTTCTTCTTCTTTCCCCTTATCTCCCCTCCCTCCATGCCGCTCCCACAACCCTTCCCCAGCGCCGACTATCAGGAACGCTTCAACCCCAGTGCCCTGAAGGACTCGGCCCTGTCGACCCACAAGCCCATCGAGGTGAAGGGGCTGGGAGGCAAGGCCACCATCATTCATGCGCAGTACAACACACCCATCAGCATGTACTCACAGGACGCCATCATGGACGCCATAGCTGGGCAGGCACAGGCCCAGGGCAGTGATTTCAGCGGGTAAGCTCCAGGCTGCACTCTGCCTCCCCGTGTGACCCTACAGCCCTGGCCAGGGCTTGGTTGTCCTAAGGACCCTGGAGGAGAGCCAGCCTCACAACTACGATTGTACTCGCCTCAGAGTCTACTGCAAGATCAGCTTGAGGAGGAGGTTGGAGAAGGCTCTGCGAGGCGGCTTGTTTAGAACATCTGGCTGGATGTCTCTGGCCTTCTCCTAGGCTTAGGCCCTTTCTGGGGAAACTGCTGTGTTCTTCCACTGATGGGCATTGATTGGAATGGAATGCATGCTTGGGTTTATCATGGGGATAAACAGAACAACCTTCAACGTTCAGAAAAACCCTTCAAGGTGTTGATGGCCGTAGACTCCAATGCAGAGAGAACTTGGGAACACCAGGACTGGCCACCTTTCTCTTACTATTTTTCTAGGGAAGCCCACACTCAAGAAGGAGGGTTTAGTACATGTTTGGCTCCTGGAAGGTGTCTATTAGCTAATGGCACTTCAAAGTTGAGCAGAGAGGGAGCTGAAAAAGCAAACCTTAATGGGGACTTTTTGTGGGGGGCTTTCCCACTCGGTTTTTCACACAGACACATATATACATACAGAGTCCTTTTTTCTAGATGGGAGTATCATTGGTGTTTGCTTTCAGAACAGACTGGTTATTTCTTCAGGAGATATACGAGTCAGGATTCCCAACAACTTAAGGCATGAAGTTTTTAAAGTTGTGTTGGGGGTGGGGGGCAGAGGGTCCCTAAATTTGAGGGGAAATATATGCTGTAAGAGGATTGTTGTTATATGCCCTTGAGTCAGAAATGACTTAGCGCTGACCTTCCAGTGGGATTTCAGGGACTGTAAATTGCTTGGGATGAGAGTGCTCATCTTTCCCACTGGAGCACATGGGAATTTGACTTGTTTTCCCCAGGTTGAGAGCACAGCTCCTTTACCACGAAGCCACCGGAGTGCTAAGAGGATTGGAGGGCTCTTTTAAAAGTTCCAGAGAAATCCAGTAGTTCTTGATATTTTCAGAACTCAGTCCTTATGGTCGTGTTGTAGGAGTCAGGGTCCAAGGACGCCAAAGGATGGGGTCTTTGGGGTGGACCTGAAAACTTTGCTGGTCCCACTCTTCAAGGACGCAGTGCTGTGTGTAGACCACCAGAGGGCATGATCACTTGCTCTGGAGCAATGAGTCTCAAACGTGGCTCAAGGTTTTTTGCCGCTTTTTGCATCAGACGTTGATTTATTAAATTCTGTTTTTCAAAGCCGAAAAAAACCCCAAAACTGTTAGCTCACTAATACCCAGAAAAACAAGGCCGCCTGGCTAAGCCCAGAAGCCAGTGGGGTTTCCTGTTGGTATTTGACTACCCTGATGCCCTTGGTGTACTCTCAAGGATACGAACAGTTGCCTAAGGAAGTCCAGTGGAAGTAGCAGAAGTGCGCTTCACTCACTTTTATTTTTTCCTACACCTTTGGAAAAACTGCTATCACGTGGTTTCACTGCTTAGGATACCTCTGATTTTTGGAGCACAAAGCACCACTACTCAGGGTTCCATGGACCTGCTCCCCATTTCCTCTTTCCCTCTCTCCTTCATTTCCTTTTGCACCTGAGAAGCAACATCCCTTCCCATCTCTTTTAACTCAGCCCCTTGGAGACAGTGTGGTAAGAAGAGCTTCTCCCATTGTCCTGTTAACGTCTTCAGGTCCTTCTTAACTGACGGTCTTCTTTTTGTCTCTCTCCTTTCCTCCTTTACGTCCTCACTCCTTTAACTCATTTCTGATAATCACCCTGCTCTCTTGTGTGCGTGCTGCCCCTCTGCCCTCCCATGATGGACATGCATTCCTTGCTGGGTTTTCCACAGGGCCTCACCGCTGGCGTAAGTAGATTCTGTGGTGTCTGTCCCATTGTCCATCTGTCTGGTTGTGGGATAATGTGTGGGTTTGGTGAGGTATGTGTGAGAACCAGTAGATCATTAGCACTGTCCACATTCTCCCTCTTACCTGCCACACAGCCAGATCACCTCCCCAGCTGCCTATAGATACAAGGACTTGTCTTTTGAGCTGATCCCAAGTAATGTTTCTACAGCCACAGAATCAGAATGGCATTCACACTGCACCCTGCCCCCAAGTCTGAGAATGTATCATGGGCTCTCCTTACCATATATCACAGATGTTCCTTGCAACTTTTCCTGTGTTCATTGAGAAAGCGTAGGTTTGGATGTAAGAAACCATACTAGGCCCTTCTTCAGGAGCAGAGCCTAACAAGGCACCTCCTGGAAACTACTCCTCAGAATTCTCAAAGGCATTACTTGTCCACAGGACCACCTGTGGGATGGGACAGATGAGTCAATTTTAAGGATACTGCATAGAGGGGACCTTGATGTCTTGGAGACTGTGGAATATTTCCTATAGCATGGAATGCAAATTGGAGATGGTACCAGGAGGGCCTCTAACCCAGGTTACAGTATAAGGAGCTATTGCACTGTTTCTCCACATATAATCAATCTTTCAGGCACAGGATTTTCTTTATTCACTCTCAGTCCCTGCCATGGCAGCAACACAAGCCCCTGGCCTCTGCCTGGGGATTCTCTGCTGGCCCCCTTCTTGCTCTTGGAACTCAGGTGTGCACTTCATGGATGTGTTCCAGGAAAAAAGACGGCAAGCATATATCATCTACTTTCTGGACCTCCACGTTTCATGTGGTCAGACTCAAGGGAAAGACTTGAACTGGGAGACACACCTTCCCTCCTCCCAATACAATCCACACTTCCTCCTTAACTCCAGCAGGCCAAGAGTCAGCACCTGCTATTCCTTTGTGCCTCTCTCTGCTTTAGGACCCTGTGCCAGAAAAGGCCTCCCTTGGAAAAGTTCTATGTTCTCCTTTGCTCCCTAAGTATCTGTGGGTCCCTCTAGAAGGACCTGCTTTAGGTCCTTCTGGAGTCTTCTCTATTTGTTCCCAACCCCAGGATACTAGTATCTATAGATCTTTGGGCCAGGTCAGAGCCTTCAAGGGAAGAAGGAACAGCTCAAATCAACTGTGCTCTTTTTCCACCATTACTCTCCCACGGTACACAAGAAACAGGGACAAACCTTGAGAACCTAGTGCCATGGAAAATTAAGTCAATTCTCACTTCCAGCTCCTTGGAGACAGCACTGAGAAGACCTCTGACCCAGCCAAGCTGGCCTTCAGGGAGAGTAGACACAGACATGGAGGCAAGCAGGGCATGAGTCTGGGCTAGGCTGTATCTCCAGATCTCTGTAAGGCGCTGGTAGGCTGAATTGGCCTTCTTGAGCCCTTAAAATGGAGAACCTTTTGGAGAAGACCCTGGCATGGAGGCCAGGAAATCTGGACCCTAACATTATTGGGCTCCTGAAGCTATAACCTGAAGTTAGCCAGCTAGCTTCTCAAGTCCTCAGTTTCAACATTTGTAAAAAGAGAGGGTTGAGCTTCTGGGAAGCAGCTTTTGCTGCCGTGGACTTCACCTCAGCCTGCCCTGACCTCTGGGGCTTGGGATACTGGCAGCCTCCATCTCCAGCCCTCTCTAACCAGTTGAACAGGAACCCAAAAAGTTTGATCATTAACTGCCCTGAAGTTTAGGCTTGACTTAGAGACAGTAGACCAAGGGGTTCCAGAGTCTCTTCTAAATCAAATCTGAAGTTTATCCATTCAGTAAGAGTTTCTGCATATTGGTGTCTGTTGGTCCCTAAGACATGTGGAAGGGAAGGTCACCAAATCTCCCTCAAGAGGCTGTGTTGTCCTGAAACAAGAGACTAGTGACTTCCTAGAAGTTCTATCCCCAGATCTCCCAGATTCCCCAAACCAGAGCACAGGCTCGGGCCAGAGTGGATCTTATTGCTTTCTTTCTTATGCCCTCTTCCCACTAAACCTGCCTGTTCTTGGCTGAGCTGGCTCCAGCCCCCCTCCAGGGGGATCCCAGCATTGGAGCTCCAATCTGAACCCAAAGGTGTGAGGAAGGTTGGGGTTCCAAACTTGAGGAGGCCTCTGAGTCCTTGTCCCCACCCAGATACAAAGCCTTTCTGTCGCCTCCTTCCATAAAAAGGACCCAGCATTGACAGAGGGTGAAAGGCATAGACCAGTGAAGCCTACTCCTAGAATTAGTGTCAAGTAGGGGACAGGAAGAATCCTGGCCTCCTCACACACATGAGTGAACAACTCAGAGCATGAAGGACCCAGGAAGCCATCCTGGTTCTCACAGTGTGGAAAGAGACCACTGGAGGCCAGGCTAACATAAAAGAGAAGGGAGCACAGGACGGGGTTGGGAATGGGCTGTGGCCTGACCCTTCCTGATGGCCTCTCTCTTCGCTACAGGAGCCTTCCTATTAAAGACCTGGCTGTGGACAGCGCCTCCCCAGTGTACCAGGCTGTGATTAAGAACCAGAACAAGCCAGAAGAAGAGGCTGATGAGTGGGCCCGCCGCTCCTCGAACCTGCAGTCTCGTTCATTCCGCATCCTGGCCCAGATGACAGGGACAGAGTACAGTAAGTGAGCGCTGTGGGGTAGGGATGAAGCAGGAGATTCTGAGGGCTCCTCCTTGAGGGCTCCTTGACACTAATCCCCAATCTGCAAAAGTCAAGCCTCCAGCCCCAAAGAGAAAAGGTGGCCTTAATGGTTACTTGGCACAAGGCTCCTCCTGGGCCAGCTGGCTGATAAAATACCTCCTGCTCTTGGTGGCTTCTGAGCACAGTGACCACTGTGAGCTGGGATAAGAAGGCTTCACAGGCCTCTCTTTAGACTGCCCTCCCCACTGCATCAGGTCCTCTGATGGCAACCTCCTCCCTCTGCCCTCCACCCAGCCATGGCGCCCTTCCTGTCCACTCTTTACTGGCAAGACGGACACTAGGTGTGGCCCAGATCCCCAGATGATTTTAACGCTCCCTGTAAACCCCTCTGACTGAGCTCCTTTTTGTCCACAGTGCAAGACCCAGATGAAGAAGCTCTGCGAAGGTCAAGGTAGGTTCCTGAACTCAGGTTCAAGATGTTGCCCCTCCGAATCCCATTCCCTCCCCAGGTAAAATTCCAGGTCATATGACCTAGGGAAGAAACCTCTCAAGTCCTCGCATTTGGAAACCCCTAGCACCCCAAAGCCTCCAGCAGATGCTGTATGGGTCTCTGAGGTGGAGGCCTGAGCCGAGTCTATTCCCTAAACCTCCAAGCCCCAGGAATGCGGACTCTGGTCTTCTCTGGTTCTGCCCTTGGCTCTGGCCCTGAGCAGGGGACAGGGCTGCTTTGGCCTTTGCTGGGCTGTTGGCAATGAGAGCACCTGTCCCTGTGAGTATGTGTGCTGGGCACCAGGTGTATGGGGACGACGTGCAGCGTGAGTGCCTGACCTTTAAGTTCATGTGTCCAGCTCCATCAATGGCTTACAGTAGAGCAACTTTGCCAAGAAGGCAGAAGCCCTGCACAAGGAGAGACTTGTGCAGGATCAGGTTCTCCGGAGCACAGGTTCCTGGCAGTGGCAGGTCTGACACACTTACTTCTCTACTACCTGGGGCGCATCAGGTACCGGTGACCCAGGGGATGCTACCCTGGAACCCACTGGAAGGTACTAGGGCCTTCCAGGGTAATTGTGGAACTCGGCATGATTGTGCTTACACTTTTGGCAGCACGTATGTCTTCAGCATGCTCTCCCTGGGAGAGTTTGCCTTGAGCCAGCACAGCCTGTAACCGGTTGCCTTTGTGTGAAGGGTCAGGCTTTCCGTACTTTTTAACCAGAGTGCAGTGGCCACTGGACTGCATGCAGAGTAGGACTCTGGGGTCAATTAGGAGCTGATGTGTATTTTATTCTTGAACCTACATTTTTTATTCTTTCAAGTTCCTCTCATTTCTGGGCTGAGGCATTGGGCCTAATGTGTGATATAGTCCCAGGTCTGCTAATGATGGGATGCTGTCCAGTAGTTTCCTTTAATCCTGTACCTACATAGAATATGAAAGACAGTGATGTTTTATTTCACTCAGAAGTTACTATCCAGTTAATGTAAGTGTGGTTGAGATATCTACCCCTTCTCTTCCCGTGTCCCACTGCCCCTTCTGCTCTGTCCTATCCCTTGCTTTAAATCACCCACATAGATGCTTACATGAACATCTAGACTGATCCAAGATTTGATAGAAGGGAGAGCTTTACATCACACCCTCCAGAGCAAGTAGCCATATCCTAGGAGGCTCCTTCTGGCAAGAAACCAAGGGGCAAGCTCTTCTCCCCTTTTCAGCCATGGAAGTGGCCTTTCTTGCCCCTGCTCACCCCCTGCAGAGTTTCTGGTTCTTGCAGGTTCCTCTCCTCTTCTACCAGCCACTGAGCTCAGCCCCAGCTCACCTCTATTCTAAATCTGCCAGATTTACTATGCAGAGGGCAAAGTTCTAGTGCAAGTGGGTTACAGTGAACCTCTGCTGTTATTGTCATAAAGGTATATATAGCACATTTGTCAGCTTATCATTTCCACATGTAATATAATAAAGTAATATGAATTACATTAATCGTGTTGTGCTCCCCTTACTAATAATTGTCAAATTGCCCATCACCATAGGTGGAAACTCTTTGCTTCCTAAACAGTGACTTCTCATTTCCCACTATCCTTATGCCCCTGGTCGCCACTAATAAAATGTTGGTCTCTATGCCCTGCCTATTCTAGATAGTTCATCTGAGTGAGATTGTTTCCTGCCTAACTTTTGTGGTTGACATACGTCACTCAGCATGAAGTTTTCCAGATTCATTAATGTTGTAACATGTACTGGTACTTCATTTCTCTTTATGACTGAGCATATTCTATTGCATGCAAGCCACAGTTTACTTATACATTCATCTGTTGATGGACAGTTCAGTTGTTTGTATAGTCTGACCATTGGGAACAGTACTGAAATGAAAGTTCATGTACGTGTGTCTATTTGTCACTGCTACCAATTCTGAGGAGTTGGAGTTGCTGGATCATATGGTAGTTGTATGTTTAACTTTTTTAAGAACTTCTAAACTGTTTTCCATAGAAGCTATGCCATTGTACATTCCTACCAGCAAAGGATAGGATTCCTTTTCTCCCTATATTTTCTCATAACCATCCTAGAAAGAAAGAAAACCAACCTACATTTCTTTCGGAATCTTTGCAGGCTTTCAAATATTGTCTTCCCAAGGTCTGAGTGAGGACAGTGCTAATGTGGTCCCTAACCTCACCCTTTGCCTCTTTTGTGTCTTGTTTCGGAAGCCTCTCTTGGGGTTTGTGCTTCCAGGCTTGAAGATGATTACCCCTCCCCTCAGGGAGGCTGTCCCCATGCCAGCTGAAGTCTCTTGCAGTTCTTGGTTCTTCTACCCCAGCTACCATAGAGTTGCATTTAAGGGAGGTCCCAGAAACAGACAAGCAAAGAAGTCCTCTTCTTCCCTCCATCTCTGGGCTCCAACCCTGAGAAAGCAGCTTCCCTCACAGGTACTGCAGCCCCTCCAGCCCTCCCTCTGGGTCTCATCCCTGCAGTGTGGGTGCCAGGACCCCAAGCAAGCCTCTGCTCAAGACCAGAGGGGCTAATGTCCCTGCTCCTCTCCTTCCTGACTAATTTCTAGAGGGTGGTCTTTATGATCATGTTATTGTTGTATACTGTCAAGTCAGAAGCAACCCATAGCTGAACCTCCAGCGGGTTTTCAGAGGCAGCAAATTGCCTAAAAGGAGACTGCTCATCTTCCTCCCATGGAGCATCTGGTGGATTCAAATCTTGTGTCTTTGGATTGGCAGTGCAATTCCTTACTGTTAAGCCACCATAGCTCCCTTATGGTCATAGTCTCCATAAATGTCCATCCTCCCTATTGCTGCAGGAAGAGGATGAGTGTTTTCATTTCATTGGCCAAGAAAAGTCCATCTCCTTCCTGCTGATGCATGGTGAGAAAGCTAGCAGGACACAACATCATCAGGCACTCGTCTCAGATGGACTCTGTGACCCAGAAGACTATGTGAGTCCACAGGTTGAAAGGACTCTGGACTTTCTTATCTCCCCTCTAGTTTCACTTCTGAGGCCCACCCTCTAATTAGGGTTCCAGAGCAGCCTGCAGTCTTACTTGCCTTTCCGCCTGGCTCCAGAAGCTCTGACAGTACCTCAGGTGTCTAGTAACTTTCTGAGGGGCCTCCAGGCCTCGCCTGTCGCCAGCCCAGACAGAGTCCAGTCTTGAGGGAACTTGGCTTTAAGGGTGAGACTAAGCATGGCCACTAAAAAGCCCAGACACTATTCATGAACTTAGCTCCCTCCCAGGAAAGATGCCGGGACCGGAGGACATTATCTGTCCAGCTTACATACTAGCCTCTTCTCTGCTTCCTAGAGCCATGGTAGTTCTGTGGTTAAAGTATTTCGCTGCTAACTGAAAGATTAGCCGTTTGGACTTACTAGCTCCCCCATAAGAGAAAGATGAAGTGTTCTGATTTTGTAAAGGAAGATTTACAACCTTGGAAACTTAATGGGTTTCCTGCTCTATCCTGTAGAGTCTTTATTATTCAGAATCAACTCAGTGTCAATGGATTGGTGTTTTGCTTTGCATGATTTCATATGAGGGGCCTCCTGTGACCCACTCTAGTACATAAGACATTGTTGATACCCAGCTTCAATCCACTGCCACTGAGTAGAAGCCTCCAGCCCAAAACCTGTGCATAGAACCCCCAAGAAGGCACCCAGTGCTGTGTTCACAGGGGCATTGAGGACCCAGTGGCTTGGGTGCCAGCCCACATTTGGCAGTCCCATGGGGGGTGGGGGGGAAGCCTGGTTCTGCGGCAGAGCTTGCATCTGAGAGGCATCAGGACCCCACTGCTAGGTGTAATTGTCCTAGAGGAATCCCAGTAAGGAGCCCAGCTGTTCCACCTTCTATCCCCTGTCATGTGACTCAGCTGTCTACAAGCACGTTTAACTGCTGCCCAGCTAGGGAGAGAATTCTACATCCACCCTGTTCACACAGTGAAAATGCCCTGCTGCCCTCTCCACTGTGCAGCTGGCAGGGGCTCTGTTCTGCACCTCCCTGCCCCAGTGAAGCTCCAGAACTGGCTGTTTCTCCCCTGCTCCTTCCTCCAGTTGCCTCGGGTATTTCTATGCCCTCTCCCCTCTGTGCACAGGAACTCAGCTCTATCCCAGCTCCAACCTCCAAGCAAAGAAAAATCCATGAGAATGCAATGGGTGGCAATCAATGCTAAAGGTGACATGTGCCCCCTGGTGTTCTGCCACCCTTTACTGTTGTTGTTGGTTACTGTGCAGTCAACACTGACCCAGGGCATCCTATGGTCAATGGCATCTTCACAGTTGTTTCTCAAGAACATTGTTGGGGCCACTGTGTACGCTGAGTGCCTTTTAATTCAGTAAACTCATCTTCAAGCACTATATCAGATAAAGTCCTGTTCTTGTGATCCATAGAGTTTTTGTATTTTAGCAGTATATTGCCAATCCTTGCTCCCCAGTCTTAGTCTGGAAGTTCCGCTAAACCCTGCTGGTATTTGAAAAATGATGGCATAACTTCAGCATCACAGCAGCAAACCAGCCACCAAGGTGCTGACAGGCAGGGAGCACTAAGCAACCTGGCAAGCAGAAAATCCAACAGCTCTGCTCTCTCCTTTATTCACTCTCCTCTCGGTTCTTTCTCTCCCCTTCTTTTTGCTCTTTCTTCTCTCTGCTTCTTTCTTGAGTTGGCTATGGGTTGCTAAACAGCGCCAGGCAGAGCTGGCTCCCCAGGCTTGCTGGCTTCTCATCCTGTCCTCTGACACTGTTCAGTGGATGGTAATGACAGACTTGGTTGATCCACTGCATACTGCGTGTCTGTGGAAGCAGTGATGTACACACAGACTGACTGATTTCCATCTTTTGGGGGTTTGGGGTTGGTCATGGACATTCCTGCACTTTCCCTGCCTTGGGCCCTCTCTTCACGCTGTGGCTGTCCCTTTACCCTATCCTCAGAGAGGCCAGTGTGTGGAAGAAGATACCCAGCACTTAGATCATAGTTTATC